AAGTGTCCTTTTTACTTGGACCTTGATGACCTCTTTAATCTTATTTCATGCCACTCCTCTTCACTCAGTATATTCCAACCAAACTGGCCTCTTTTTGTTTTCTGTAACATACAAAGTTCTTTCCCATTTCTAAGGCTTTGTACATGCTGTTTCCTCCATTTGGATCATTAAATCCCCCTAGTCTTCCATTTCCTTCAGAACATTTACCATGACCTATAATCATGCATTTACTCCCAGCAGGATTTGTTTCCATCCAGTTACCCCACTAGGCTGTAAGCTTCTTGAGGGCAAGAGTGATGATTGCATTGATGATTACTGTATGTTTACAACTTAGTGGTAGAAACATAATACATGATCAGTAAATATTTGTTGAAGGAATGGATAAACTTTCAAATCATTCAAGCCCATATATGTAGTATAAGAATTGCTTTATTCTGGTGGTTTTTCCAATTTAATAGAGAACAGGAGAGAACTGGAAATAGGAAGGATGATGGTTGGTCCCATTAATACCCTTCTCTTTGGCTAAGGGTGACCCCCAAAGATCTAATCATCTCTCTCTCTCTTTTTTTTTTTAGAGACAGAGTCTCACTCTATGGCCCTTGGTAGAGTGCCAGGGCATCACACAACTCACAGCAACCTCCAATTCCTGGGCTTAGGTGATTCTCTTGCCTCAGCCTCTAGAGTAGCTGGGACTACAGGCGCCAGCACAATGCCTGGCTATTTTTTTGTTGTAGTTTGGCCGGGGCCCAGGTTTGAACCCGCCACCCTCGATATATGGGGCCGGTGCCCTACCTACTGAACCACAGGCACCACCCTAATCATCTCTTTTATCACCCATTCATGAATGTCATTGATTGCGCCTCATCAGTAGTAAATTTCTTTTGAAGTCATTTCATCTTGTTCCATAATAGCTGTTAATATAACAAGCTTCTTTTATGTTACCACCTACTCTGTCCCCTCTATCATTTGTCCTGCAGCAATTCACCTTCTTTAAGCTTCAGGAAGGTTTGCCTTCTGGCTGTGTCTAACTGTTTCTGTTTTGTGTAGGAGAGCAAAAAAGAAAGCAGCCAAAGTATTACTTATCTTTATGCTGACAGTCTGGAAAATATTTTACCCTAAATAGAGAGGTTTAACTGTCCTCCCTGCATCCACTACTCCAAATCAGACAGAAATTTAAAATATAGAAACAGTACTTTTTATTTTGTGTCAGAGTTTTTAACTTGGTGAACCTCCTCTGTGCCTATTTCATGCTTTAATTGGTTTATGTAAATCTTCATTTTTCTGGAAAGTCTCTATATTTTTCTAAGTTCCTTAGAGAAGCTAGAATCCCAAAAAAGTACCTTGGGCTTTGCATCCTGTTTTACTTCTCCCAGTGAGTGACCAAATCCACAAGGCTGCTTCTGGCCCTTCTCTAAACAACTTTGTGCTCTGACTTCAGGATGTATCTTAAACCCTGTTTTCAAATGAACTTTGTAAACAAGCCCTTAGGCTAACAGGCATCTTGAACTATATAAATAATAAATACATCTTAAAATTTCCTGTTTGAAAAAAGAGGCACCTGAGATAATTATGCAATGCACTTACTATTCACATTTTAGTTATTGTTATATCACTAATACCGTTAATGTTTATTACTTCTCATTGCTTTTCGGAAAGACCTGAATGTGGTCACCTTGGCTTTGGTTTAGGAACTGGGTCCATAGCATTAGCTGAGAAACCATGACTGCACATTTTTTTTTTAAAAACTGCAAACATTACTAAGTCTTGGTAAGGCCTAAGAATCATTCAGCTGGAATGTGAAGAAGTTGAAACACTGTTATGTAACAAGCCCTTAGCATATGTGTACTTATGTCTGTATATAGGATATCAGGATATACACACTTATTACAATGGAGGTTTGTTTATAGTCTGACATCTTAAATTCCTAAGTACAAGAAAAAGTGGATCTTTATTAATCAGGACTTCTTTTCTTTTTTCCCCCTCTTTTCTTGCCAATGAGATTTTAAAGATGTTTCTTCCTTCACTTCCTTCCTTCCTTCCTTGTACTGTCCAGGTTCAACGTGAATCCACAATCACTGCAACTCACATAGATGAAACCCACGTTAACAAATCACCAGGATCAGAACTCTGGCTGTGGTGTTTCCTTCTAGATAGGACCACTGAACCAAAAATGCATGGTAGTGATTTTTTTTTTTTTGTCTTTAACGATGATTAAGTAAGCAACTCGAGATTTCATGAGAAAAAAATAGATGCAATTTTTTGTGTGTATGGCAAATTTTTTTCAGCTTAAACTTTACAAAGGGGTTGGTGAGCATTCTGGCCCCCTCCCTGCTGCTCACTCGTTGGTGCGCGCGCGCGCACACACACACACACACACACACACACGCTTCCCAAGATAGGAGTCTTCTAGCAAAATCCTCTGAACTGCCAATCTAGGCAGGACTTCCCTTTAAGAAAGAATTGGCTTTGTTCTCAAGCGACAGACGTCTAAGTGCCAGAGAGACAAAGAGCACCCAGGCTGATAAGGCGCGTGCCAAGGCTCTCAGGTGGGAAATCCTGGCACAACCGAGATGCAGCTGGCGTAGGCACTGGAGGTTGGCAGAGTCGAGCCACTGAGACTTCCTCCACTCCTGGGTTTGCTTTCCTTCTGAAGCCACCTGCAACTCGTAAAAAGTTTGAGCCAAGGGCACACCTCGAGATCCTGTCCCCAGAGCGAGAGCTGTCTCCCTAAGGAATCCTGGACTTGCCTGGAAGATACAGCGAGGAGGACAGGAGCTATAGCCGCAGAGTTTCCTGTAGACTGAACCCCTCAAGACTGGTGGAGACTGGAAGGAACGAGTCCAGACCACGAGACCTTCCCTGGCCCGCTGCCAAAGCCCAGCTGTCCTTGACCTCCCCCGCATTCGGAGGCTTGCGCGGGGGAAATGAAAGTAAAACCTGTCCTGGCGCGGACCCAGCTGGAAGCAGGCGACAAGTAGGTCGCATCTTCTGAGAGACTTACAGACAAGCCGTCCTGAACGGGGTCGGTTCAAGGAGCTTGACCTGCAGGGGCTGAAGTGAAAGGAAACCGGAGTCTGGAGACTAGAAAAAAGAAAAAAACAATAGTTAGGCTAGGGAGGCTCCTGAAAGCAGCAGGCACACAGCAAACCTGCTGTCTGCAGTGCGCACAGACTAGCCACCTGACGCAGTTTACTGCGGTGACTGTCCTGCGGCCAGCCAGGCGGGCTGCGCCAGGCCAGTTTGCTATGCTGTACCCGTCAGACCCTCAGCGTCTGAAATCCTTACCAGAGCCAGGACCAGGAATCAGTCCCCCGCCCTCAGGGAAAACTCAGGTCCGCTCAGGTGACTCCCTCCAGGAAGAGCCGACAGAATAAATAACCTCTGCACGGCCATTTCTTCCCCCAGGTGCAATGTCCACTGCTCAGTCCTGAGAGCTAAAAGGCGGCTGAGCCAGCAGTATGGGGCCCAGACCCCTCTGTGGGCAAGGTTCGCGTGACCTAGCTCCCAGCGGTCTTTACACTGGATCTCAGAATCCTTACGGCACAGCAGGTAGGAGGAAGCTTAGAGGTCTGCTGGGGGCAGGCTCTAGATGGAGACACTAGAGAAGAGACGTGACTTGTCCACTTTCACAAAGCGAATTGTAGTAGCTAAGCTTCAGGGCATTCGTGTGAGGTCGTAGGGGATGGGACACCGGAAACTCACTTGTAAAAAAGCAGGCAGCCAGGCGGTGCTGAGCGTTGCCTCCCAGTTTGGCCTCCAGAAGTAAGAAAGTGTAGTCAAGAGGTGATGGAAGAGCACAGATAGGTGACAAACGCATTTGGAGTGATTCATCATGAACAGGCACAAGTCTTTGGGCGGGGGCTGGGACTCTCCTCTCCCCCCTTTGGGAGATGGTGACCCCAGCCTAGAAGAATCCGGGGCGCGCTGCAGTCGGCCTTGCCTGCTTGTCTGGCCGAGTTAGAACTCTACTGCTCCCTACCTGCAGTGTGACTTTGGGCAAGAAACTTCCCCTCTCTGGACTTCAATTTTCTACTTGATGAAGTGAGCAAATTTGTGTTACCTTCCTCACCTAACTCGAGGGTTTGAGCCAAGATCAAAGGAGAGGAGGATGTGGCTGTGCTTTGCATGCTGTAAAGTGATTAACATATGTGAAGCATTAGTGTATTCTTGGCAGTCAATCCTTACGTTTACAATGAATGAATGAAGGTAACCAAGCAAACTCTCAGGTTATAACCTTATATGGCATAATTGGATTGCAAGGGGGCAAAACGAAAAAAAGAAGTCTTTCTAATTTTGGTTATTCCTGTATTTCCAAATAGGCATGTAAATTCTGGCACTTCTGATACTTCCCCCCACCAAATCCCAATTCTCAATTCGGTCTTTCTGAGTCTTGCCCCTATTGTGAAATCTTACTAGTCCATCCCGAAACCCGGGGTTTCGGCCGCTCTCAAGGGGCCAGCGAGCCCCGCTCCCCGAGTTCTGCTCTGTGCACTGTCCCAGCAGCTCGGCGGGAGTCTGGGGTCGCGGCCAGGTCAGACGCCAAGCCGGCAGGGGGCGCGGTCCACTCGAGGCCACAGCTCCGCAGGTCCCGGACTCGGACCATCTGCGCGGTACCCCCTTGCGAGCTCTCGCTTTTCTTTGGAGGCGCTGCATTCTGCGCTGCATAGGTCCAGAGTAAAGACCCCAAGAGGTTGTACCGGCCCTCCTTAGCCCTGGCTTACTGTCTGAACACTGCGCCCAGAGAGTTAGGGCTGTGGCAGTTCCAGCACTAACCTCCCGGCGACCATCTCTGCGTCTTCTGGGCACGAAAGACTCCCCCATTCCCCCCTCACTCTACTCTCACCCCACCTCTACCCCCCAGCCCTACCCCCACCCACAAGCAAGCAATGCGCGCTCCCGACCGCAGAAGCGCGTGCGCCCGAGAAAGAAAGGGAGGGCGGCGGGGCACCCAGGCCCCGCCTCCCAGAGCTCCTATAAAGTGCAGGAACCGGCACTAGCCCCTCAGTGGTTTCTTGGTGACACCAGACAGAACAACTCTACCCTTGCCTCTTCTGGCTTCTCACCGCGGCAGGGCTTGGACTTTGGGGTTTTGCCACTGCCAGACGGGCGTCTTGGACTTTCTCCTTCAAGTACTTGACCGAACACTTTCTTAGCAGGTAGGTGCCCGGGCAAGTTAAAGGGGTTGGGGGTGAGTTGCCAAAGCCGGAAACTGGGAGAGCTGGGTGAGGGGAACAACCCACCTTGGGGGAGCCTCTGAGGGGTACATTTCACATCCCAAGCCCAGCTCCTGCACAGATGGAGCTTCAGAGACTCAATCCCCTTTGCTCTGCTAGTCAAGTTGCAAGTAGTTATGCAGGGCTCGTCTGGGAGCCTGGCGCGGTGCAGCTGCCTCCCCTCGGGGCCTGTCACCCGCCTGGCGGGTGCAAATTTCTCTGGCGCCTCGCTGCGCCCCGGGGAGATAAGCGTCTGAGACAGCGCGGGCTAAGCCCGCCAGCACCGAGGCCCCCGCCCGAGCTGTACAGCTGGCCCGGATGCTCACGCTCGTCCTCTGTCTCTACTTTTCCAGGATCTGCACATCGCCGCTGAGATGAAGCTGATTTCAGTCGCCCTGATGTACCTGGGCTCACTCGCCTTCCTAGGCGCGGACGCTGCGAGGCTAGATGTGGCGTCAGAGTTCCGAAAAAAGTGAGTGCGGGGCAGCAGCGCCTTCCTCAGTCTTAGTACCTGACAGACCGGGAGCTGACTGTCTGTCCCCAGGGTTTAGAGGTGAATGGGAGCAGGGACCGGCCGGCACGTCGCCTGGACGCAAGCAAATCGCCTCGTCTTGTGTTTTCCAGGTGGAATAAATGGGCTCTAAGTCGTGGGAAGAGGGAACTGCGAGTGTCCAGCAGCTACCCCACCGGGCCCGCTGACTTGAAGGCCGGGCCTGCCCAGACTCTCTTTCGGCCTCAGGACCTGAAGGGCGCCTCTCGAAGCTCCCAGGACAGGTAATTACTCCGTACAGCTCCGGGCAGGGCTCCAGGGGAAGTGCGCGGGCAGAACTCTCCTCCACTATCCTGGCACTGGGCATCGTCAGGTCTAGGTGGCAGCTAGGATGCAGTTTCCAGCTCTCTCTGGTCCTAGAGACTCTGATTCCTGGTTGCTGGGACCAAAGCCCTGCTTGATGGGGTCTTAAATTGTCTTCCTTCCTCTCTCCAGCAGTCCTGACGCCGCCCGCATCCGAGTCAAGCGCTATCGCCAGAGCATGAACAACTTCCAGGGCCTCCGAAGCTTTGGCTGTCGTTTCGGGACGTGCACCGTGCAGAAGCTGGCACACCAGATCTACCAGTTCACAGACAAGGACAAGGACGGCGTCGCTCCCAGGAACAAGATCAGCCCCCAGGGCTACGGCCGTCGGCGCAGGCGCTCCCTGTCAGTGGCTGGCCGGGATCGGACTCTGTCTTCAGAGCCACAGGCACGCGGGTCTCCAGCCTTAGGGGTGCACCAAGGGCGTGCCACTCTCCTTAGGATATAGGCTCCTGTGGCAGCAGCAAACAGTCGCGCAAGCATCTCGCTGGTGCCTGCCAAGACGGAGGGCTTACCGAGAGGTGTAGGGTCCCGGCCGTGGCAGCCCTCCTGAGACCCCGAGTGTGGGAGGCACAGTCCAGCGGAGAGCTCTGGCTTTGCAGGGGTCCCTCCTGGGGCAGCGTTCTCTTTGCCCTGATCAGGGCCCGGTGCCCCAGGGGGGGCAGAAGAATCCGTGGGAGTGTCTGCCAGGCTTATACATAGGAGAAACTGAGAATTAAATGCTGAGACCCCTGGGTTAGGGGTCTGAGCCACTGCTGTGCCCACCCACAAACTGCTTTCTCATGGGCTGTCACCCACCAGGGCGCAAGCCTCACTATTACTTGAACTTTCCAAAACCTAGAGAGGAAAAGTGCAATGCGTGTTGTACATACAGAGGTAACTATCAATATTTAAGTTTGTTGCTGTCAAGATTTGTTTTTGTAACTTCAAATATAGAGATATTTTTGTACGTTATATATTGTATTAAGGGCATTTTAAAGCAATTATATTGTCCCCTTTCCCCTTATTTTAAGACCCCAATGTCTCAGCGAGGTGTAACGTTGCTTGTGTTGCTAGATGTGTGGAGAATGTGTGTGTGTGTGTGTGTACGCGCGAGATGGAGAGACTGATTACCTCTTGTGGAAGAAGGAAACACCGTGTCTCTGTATAATCTATTTACATAAAATGGGTGATGATATGTGAACAGCAAACCAATAAACTGTCTCAATGCTGATTCATTCTCGGCTTTGTCCAAGGAGGGAAGGTGCCCCTGGTCCTAGCCCACCCAGGAGCCTTAGAGTCCCACCATCCAGCTTGGGTCCGCCGCAGTCTCGCGTGCTCGCCTCTCTTTGCACTGGCGGAGCTGTCATGAGCTCTGTCCTCCGTGTGGGGCGCGCAGAGCGCGTGTCCTGGGTGCGAATCAGGACTTCGCGGAGACGCCCGAGGTCACCGCCTCGCGTGGCAGCCAGGCGGGGCGGAGTAGGGTTAGCCCTAGTAGGGAAGCGAGCCTGGACTCTCTGGGTTGCGCAACCGAGTGTCAGATTTATAGAGTTCATCATGGAACTCCGCGCGAAAGCGCGCCTCGGAGAGTTGGGGTGGTCTCCGAGGCCTTTTAAGTGAGGAGTTTCCCCTGCCTACCGCGGGTGTTAAAAGTTAGAAGCTGCCCAAGGAAAATGTTCGAACTTCTACGGGAAACCGGCAGCCAGTTAACCCCAGTCCTCGCCCGCCCTGCGCTCCAGATAGCTCGGGGGCTCAGAAGCGAGGCTGCAGCGCCCCCTGCCGACCGACGCAGACCGTCCCCAGCGCCGTCAGACAGTACGTGCGGTTTAATAAGTGCTCCTACGTGGGAGTCAGCACACAGCCTTAATGAAAGAGGAAAGAAAAAAAAAGAAAAAACAGTTTGCAGATGCCAACTGGGACTAGTCCCCTCCCCCCCAAGACCTGCACCGCAGCTTGCAGTTCTGGGACAGTGACTCAGCGCCCACACGCTGCGCAGCGTGCAGCTGCTGCCGGAGGCGGGCGGGAAGGACGTGCCGCCGGAACCGTGCGCCTCGGACGGCTTGAGACCTTCATTGTTCCGCCTCCCCTTGCCACTCACCTCTTCCTTCCTCATTCCCAAGCTTTTTTTTTTTTCTTTCCCCCCACTTCTCTCCAGCCTTCCTTTCTCTCCCTCCTTCCTTCCTCCTCCTTGCTCTCTTTGTATGCCTTACCATCTTAGAAGGTTGACCCCCAGCTCCGGTGGTAGATGCTGAACACTAAGCTCCGGTTGATTGAGTGAAGGGAACCGGACATGAAAATAGTTCCAACAGAAGTGGAGGGGAGGAGAGACAGTGTGCTTATGGAGGAGGCACCCCTGATTTTCATTTCCCGGCACCGTTTGTTTGAACTAAAATCCTAAGGACCCAAGCTGGTGATCAGCTGCTTGTCCTTTCCAGAAAATTTCCCTGCTCTTTACACTTAAAAGCATGGCTGAAATGACCGTGCTTCTAGGGTGATCTCAGAAATCGTCCTGGTGAAGAAAACCTGCAAGTGAGTTTGGAGAATAGAAATGTTCCTTGCTGAGGCTTTTGTCTCAGTTGCACTTTACAGGGCCCCCTCTGAGAGAAGAAGCCTGGGTACACACTGATAGGTCCTAAGCTAGGGGACCACCCTAATTCCTAATTAGGAATTGCACTTTACAGGCCCC